TGGTATCCGCTAGAAGTAGCCATTTAATAATTTTTACAAATGTGACATAGCGGCTAATCACTAGCTTGTCGATTTCGGCGGCTGCTACTAATGGTTTAGTAAGTACCCAATGAGCAAAAATTATCCGTTTTCCAGCAATGTTTGTTGGAAACGGATAATTTTTTAAATTGTTGTTTTTTATCTTTTCAAGTAAAAAATAACTCATCTAAAATTTTTATTTACAAAACTCATATTCATTTTTAAAATTTTACTGAAATGGCTCTCTAAAAATAAAATACATTCAAGTACACTCGAGTAGATGACAAGTTTTCCATTAAATCTGTTTTTTATTTAAATTTGGAAGCATAATCATGCTATTTTTTGCATTATAAATATATATGCCTTTATGTTTAAGCAAGTTTACATATAAATTTTGTCTTTATTTATTTTTACTTATTAATGAAAACCACTGTTTGCTAATACTTAAGAAAAAGAATGAAAATTCTTAAAAATCAAAAGGTAGAGACTTTATTACACTACTTGAGACTTTATTACATTATTTTGCTTGTAATAAAATGAAAAATAACTTCTCTACACTCCCTAAAAGTAAGTAACATCTACGTCAAACAATTTAGTTAAGTAGGGCAAATGAATCAGCAAACATATTAGCTTTATTTTATGGTTACTCTAAATACATACAACATTATAAGTGTACGACAAGCCTGCGCTGTAAATTGGGTATGCCTCTGAAGCATACTTAAATGTATTTCGTTTTAGTTACCCTTAGTTTTTCCAACTGCTTTACATTTATAAAGATTTTCATCTATGCAAGTTTGCATTTACGCTAGTTTGCATTTATAACACTTTTAACTCTGTTGCTGGTGTTTCTACTTTAGCAAACTTAATTTATAATATTTGGGATAAATTTACTTAAAATGCTAGTTAAATGTTTTATCATTGTCGGAATTACCAGGTTTGATTCTCATCACGCCTCTGGTAGTACCGTGATTATTTTGCTTCTCTGTACAGTAGTATTCTCTGACATTCTTCTGTTCTTCAAGGTTCTTATTTCTAAGTGATACAGTTAAGAGAGCTTTCTAAATGATACTGTAATGATAAGAGAATTTTTTAAGTGATACAGTTAAGAGGACTTTTTAAGAGATACAGTTAAGAAAACTTTTTAAGAGATAAAGTTAAGACAACTTTGTAACAACAACTGAAAAAAAATGTACTCATCATTGACATTAACACTTAAACGCAATGCTGTTAATGTCAATGGCGTAAAATTTTACACGGATTTATAGCGCTTATTTTTGTATAATTATTTTTATAACAGCTTTATTATGTTGAAAAATAAATGTTTATTAAGCGGTAAAATGCTCCATTGAAAACACGCAATATGGTAACTTTCAATTTGAGTTTAAATTTTTACGCATTGTCTTCACTGCAACTTTAATTTGATGTTACTTCAACGTTAATACTTTTTCATAAAAGTAATTGTTTCTTTTTTTCCGATAATTGTCATTTTTAATACAAATGTTTATACATGTATTATATGCAATACAAATATTTTCATTTTTTATACATTCATTTCTCACATGATACTTAACGACATATTCTAAACAAAACGTACAAAACAATTCTTTTAATAAAATCGTTACTACAACTAATCAGTATAAAGTGTTTTAAGTAACCATTGCTGAAATGACATTGTTTGACTTATATGTTTATTTTTTTAAACAAAGTATATAAACATATTTAAATTTTTAAAACACAAACTTATACGAATTAAGTTCTATGATTTGGACCTATGAATAAAAACTCAAAATAAACACTAGGTATGTTCATAGCACCATTTCATGGGTACAGTAAAGGTAACCAGAGGCTTTTTGTCTTATTTCATGAATATTTTTTTTGATTTTGAAACCAAGTTTTCCTTTTGCACATTTCAATACTATTTAATTATAAAAATTTAAATTATTTTACTTATTAAAAATTTAAATCGTTTGTCGGTACCTTTTTAAGAAAAATCACCTGTTGACTTTTGTTGAGGTTTGGTCTCCTCTGACCCGTCTTCAGACCCTAGTGAGAGGATCAAATAGCGATGAGCAATTTGTTTGATTTACTATATTTTTATTGAGGGGATTATGGCAACTTTACAGGAGTACAGAATACAACCTGAACAGAATACAACCTGAACCATTAGGAGTATTTTTTGTAGAAAGGATAGAGAGCGGACGATACGAGTTTTGAAGTGGAGTGGCACAAACAAAAAGTTCTAAAAAAAGTCTTCTATATTCAGAAAAAAAAGCAAATAGAAAGACAAAAGAATAAGCTAAGGCGAAAAAAAAAAGAAAATTAAATGCTATTTCCCAAATGCTGGTGCATTGGAATGGAAAACTTAAGGACACTCTGAATTCCAAAGTAACGGATAATCAATTGCTAATTTTAGAGAATTGAGCTAATGGAACATAGCTCTTTGACGTTCTCCTGCATCCAAAATTAACTGAAAACTGGTTAAATTTTTATAGACATCTTAGCAAAGGCAACTAACAAACTTTATAGATAATGATAGTGTGAAAAAAATGTTATTGGAATAATTTTCAAAACAACTTCATCAAATACATGTAAGTTTATTTAATTAAATGTAAATATCTGAGTGAAAATCATACAACTACACTGTAATAATAAATTTTCAGAAAAGAGAACCGCTGCATGTGCGTCTCTAAAGAAGGAATTAGATTGTGCGTTTTTTTGATTTGCTTGTTGTAGGCGTGAATTCCTTTTAAGTCATTGCTAGTTCAAATTTTTCAGTAATTCAAAGGTGACTCCAATAGGCTATACATTTTGTTTTACCTACAATCAATATTTTACAAAAAAAGTAAAGAGCTACTTTTACAATTGGAAAGTAGTGAACTTAATACTTTTAGTTTTAACTTACAACAATTAACATTTGATTATTATATCTTTTCACATTTATTGGTTCAAGAAAGATTTCCTTCAAATTTTATCAGATCAGCAAACAAAGTATTATCACCCTTATATAATACCTATGGGAGATGAATATATGCAAGAGATGCCAAAATTTTTTTGGGAACTTCTTAAACAGTCTTTCACACAAGGTCACTATAAAGAGCTGTTTCAGCTTTGTGTGCTCATAACAACTAATCGATCTGAATCAAAGACCTTCAAGACATTCTATTCTGGTGCCCTTTACAAATCAAAGTGGATGAGTAAAATAATTTATACTGTAAAAATTGTGCCTCTATCTAGAAAGATTAAATAACATTTTCCAAACGCTGATATTGTCACTAGTAACACAACAAAAAAATTGGAACCATTTGTTGTATTCACAGTTTTAGTTTATGTGCAGCGGTGGCTTGTTTTTCTGTACCAGTGGCTTGTTTGTTATGTACCAGTAAGCACACAAGTGAATAACTTGATTTTAGTGAAAAACCTGGCATTGTTTGCTTAGCATGGCTCAACTATAGTTGAAAATGTTTGCATGGCATTTAGTTGGTACACTGGGTACTTATCTAATACTTTTATTCTGTTAGCACTGTTTTCATCTATGATAGCAGTAGAGGAAACTAGGTTATACATTTCAATCTTTGAAAACACTTGTGTAACAAAGACAGTTGGATTTAACTTTGGGGGGTATGGCAAGCCCAATCTTTCTCCTACAATAGAACATGGTACTTTTTTAGTTGACCTAATTGGCCTGGATACATTCAAATTTTGTAGCATTGTATAAACTACTTCAGATTTCAGCGCATGATTGGATTATTAGGTAAGACCAAAACATTAAATATGTTGTCGACAAACTTTAGGTGGTAAATGAGGAAGCAGAGCGTGGTTTAAACCTGTGCTATGACTTTTTAGGTGTAAATATGAATGATAAGCACTTTCAAGATGTTCTCAAAGTATTAGAATCTTATTAAGAATAGATTCTAATTTAGCAAAAGCCATTTTGTGGACAATAAAAGAAGTCATGGTTTCTAGTCCTGAAAATAAGGATTTTTATTTGGTACTATTATACTTTATTACATTCTGTTAAAAATAACTATTATACTTTATAACCCTCTTTAAATAAGGGCGCAAAAGCGCCCATTATTCAACCCTAAAAACGCGCCCCTTCAAAATAAGTATACCTTTTGTAACAACTAACAATACCTATTATATATGTATTATAAAGTTTAAATCAATTAATTATCAATAAAAATTATATTTATAACATTATTCGTAATATAATTCCATACTAAGTAAAAACAAAAAAAGGTAATAAAAACTTAGTATATGTAAAGTTAAACAAAAAATCAAGCAAATGTAAAGTGTTATTTCTAATTTTCTTTTAACTTAGTGCACTAAGGTTGTTTTTTGTTGCTGCGACGTTTATGAACCAACTAAATAAAGTTCTACACTAGGACCATTTAAAGTAAAAAAGCGCAGAGCCTGCACTGCACAAAGACTGTTACAGCCGTAACAATCCGTTAACAGGCTGTAACTACTCCGTTAACGGAGTGCACACATCGACAATCCGGTGAAATGCTTTGTTTTTTTTGTTTTTTTTCACCACTATAAGATTGGAAGTTTGTAGAGCGAGATAGCGATTGATTTGGAGAATATATTCAATATAGTATATATAGATAATGATATATTCGATATTTGTGATATTAAGGTGGGTCGATGTTGGAACTGAAGTTTTGGACTAGTTGAGAAAGATGCCTAATAATATATTATTTTCATTTTATAAAGGCCTTTTTCAACAAGTTTTAATAGTTTTTTGAGCATTTGTATATATTCACTGAATATTATTGACATGATTCAAGTTTCAATGTAAATATTTATAGGCGTTGGTAGAAAATATCTTTAATCATTTCATAAAGCAAATGTTTAAGATTAATCGTATCATAGTTAAAATATTTTGAAAAATAAATACTTTTTTTTATAAAAAAATAACTTTTTTTTTTACAATTACTATAAAAAAACAATTATTTATTTTAAAAAATTAATTATTTTAATATATTTCTTTGAAACTTTCTCCTAGTGTTACTTTCAAAAATTAGCGTAAATTTTCGCGCTTGAACAAAAATAAATAAACAAATTAAGAGATTTGTAATTGTTTTTTAAGTCGTTACATTTGCTTAAACATATTTTATTTACAATAATAAGTTTTAATGAAATGCCTAAAAACCAAAAGGTTGTTTTAACACGTGGCAGTTTTGCTAAAAAATTTGGTGGTCAGCCTTCACCTTTAAATGAAGCAGAGCCACCAACCATTCGCCAGATTATTCAATACAACTATTTCCTTAAAGACATCAACTAAGACTTAAAAGATTATGACATTGCAAAAATAGCACTTAATGTCATAAAAATATGGCAAACTGTTAATCCAAAGTTACCACTATATGAACATTATTATGTGGTAAAGTTAATAAATAAATTATGCTTCATGAAAGCAAAACAGATTAACTGAAAATCTCTTTCTAAAGTGAAGCGTAATAACCTCGAGAAAACTTTAGACACGCTTTTTGATATTTCAGCTTGCAAATGTAATCTACCTGTTCGTTCTTGTAATGATAAGTTTGTAAAGTGCGTAGAAGAAAATTGTCAAACACAACTTATAGTTTGCACATGCCCACTGGATAGAAAGGTTGACATTTTTTAATAATATAAATAATATAATAATATTAATATTATTAATGTTAATAATATTAAAGCCATTTATATATAAATATATATATATATATATATATATATATATATATATATATATATATATATATATATATGTATATATATATATATAAATATATATATATATATATGATATATATATATATATATATATATATATATATATATATATATATATATATATATATATATATATATATATATATATATATATATATATACATACATACATACATTTATTGCTACTAAATAATAAATTGTACTTCTATTTTAGGTTCCATTAGAAGATAGAATGTATTTGAAAGATCAGAGAGCAAAAATAGGTCCTAAGGGGTTGTTTCAACTTGGATCCATTGATCGTAAAAGTGTTAATAAGACAAACAAAACTTCTGTTAGAAATAAGAAATGTCAGAAGCAGATTTTAAATGAAGTTTCTCAAGAAAAATGCATAGCATATACATCATTTGACAACAACATGAAAAGTTTAGATTCAGTAGCAGTAATAAATGAAGATGAAGACTTGAAAAGTTACAGTTGTGAAATGAGTGAAGTATTAAAGGTATTATATTTGTATTGTGTTTTTAGATAATGTACATTTTTAATATTTATACTTATTAATATATATGCTTTTAATATTTTCATTATTTTCATAGACTCCTGTTAACTTTGACAATGACTGTTGTTACAAAGCAATTATATCTGGAGCTTACAATTTCTTTAAACCATCACGATATGCTTTGGAATTAATTAGGGCTGATGTTTCATCAAGAATTGGGGCTAGCCTTGGTAATGCTTTTCTCTTAGATTTGCAGGCTACAGGCCTACTTGTGCCAAATCTTAATTTAAATACTGTATTTATTGACAAATCAAAAATTGATAGACAGAAAACTAGAGTGAAAAGTATAAGTCAAAATAAGCATATGGAGGATATTAATGGCATAATATGTATTGGAGTTGATGGAAAAGTTGACAAAGACACTTTATTTTACAGAGAAGTTAAGAAAAGACAAGATAAACACTCAGAGCACCATTTAACTTTTACAGTAGAGTCTGGGTCTGAAATTGGATCATATCTTACTCACAGAGTCATTCCGATCAAAGGTGCTAAAGGACTTTTGTTAGGAGATAAAGTTGTTAGTGTCTTAAATGATTTTAAGATTGCTCATTCTCTAAAAGCTATCCTCTTTGATAATACTGCTACTAACACTGGTTGGAAAAAGGGGCTTGTAACAGCTGTAGAAAAAAAAAATAATAGCAAGTTACACATTATTGGCTGTTCACTTCATCAAAATGAACTTCCCTTTCGAGCTATTTTTGAGTATCTTGATGGAGGCACCAAAAGCCCTAATTTGTTTAGTGGTCCAATCGGAAAACTTTGTGAAAATAACTACCAAGATCTCCCTCAAGTTGACTTCATAAAAATTAGCAGCCATGTAGATAACATACATTTTGATAAAAAGACATTAAAAGATTTGAGTAGTGATCAAAGACTTCTTTTAGAATATGTTCTTGGAGTTTCAAATGTTGATCATAAATATTCAAAGTGGAAAATTGGGCCATTAAATCATGCTAGATGGTTAAATTTGGCAATTCGATTATTGTGTCTTTGGACAAGAGGCACTTATCTTCCAGAAATGCAAGATAAGCTTCACCAAATTATAAAATTTATTGTGCAAGTGTATGCAGTTAGCTGGTTTGAAATAAAATTGGATAATAAGTTTCACAATCAGCAGTTATACATTTTCAATATGATTAAAAGAATTAAAGAACAGTCTGAGGAAATCAAAACTATTGCGTTATAAAACATGCAACACAATGCCTTTGCTTTGCTGCCTGAAAATATATTGTACTCCATGATGAAATCAGATGAAGATAAAGTCAGAGAAGCTGCTACCAGAAAAATTTTAAGTATAAGGTAAACATTTTATTAAAATAAAGTAGTTCATATAAAGTTCTATGTTTTACTCAAAGGTGACAGGCAAATGGAAAAAGTCATAATAACCGGTTGAGCATTTTTTGAAAAAACTAAATTGTAAATCTTTGAAAATTTTTTCCTGCAGGCAGAAAAATCAAGCTCCAAATTACTAAATGTGCAATTTTGGGTGGGTATAAAAAAAGTTCATAACTGATAATGCGCCTGAACGTTTAATTCACACCTTGGAGTAAAAATATAACAAAAAATTCATTTATTAAATTTTGTGTTTTTGAAAAAATCTCAACAAAATCAAAAAAAGATTTATATTTTGAGAATTTAAATTCAATTCTTTTAGAAGTATGAAAGTGCCTACATAAAGATTAAACAAAATCACTGCAATAAAAACTGATGCATATCACTGGTCGGATTTAGCAGACCTTTCTCAAACAGGTATTTGTGAACCAGCTCTCACTGAACACATATTGTCTAAGCATTTACAAGAATCGTTGCTAAATGGAACGAAGTTTGAGTTACCGGTTCTGCTTTCTCATACTCAGAGTGTTGAGAGAGCTGTGAAAATGACATCTGAAGCTTGCCATACAGTGTATGGAATGGAAGCAAGGCATAAACATATCATTGCGAAAAATTTAAGTCGTCAAAAGAGACCTAATTTTTCTTCGAAGGGTTCGTATTGTCAAAAGTATGATGACGTTTTGATCTGAAGTATTTTAACAACAAATAAAACCTTTTTATTGAAGTTTTTGTTTTGTTTTTTTTTGTTTTTTTGATACGGCATATTTAAAAAAGTAAAACAACAAAGTTACAAATGAAACTCGTTTTGATGCATTCGATTTTATAATTTGCTACTGTTTTTATATTTTTTTCAATAACCCCCTCATATCAGCTTTTATAGTAAAACTAAATTTTATTTCCTCAAAAAATCTAAAAAACCTTTATTTTTTGTTTTTACTTGTTATTATGTTACTTTGCCCCCATCTCAACTTGTCCAATGTTAAAATTGAAAAAAAAGTTGAAAATCGACCCACCTTAATGTGATATATGATATAGTATATATAGATAACAATCGATTTGTAGAGAATATTCCATTTTATAGCAAGAGCTTTTGCTTTTGCAAGAACATTATCAAAATTATTACTAAGTGATTTTATTTCTTTTATTCCAGTTTCTAATAATAAACAAATTTTACTGAAACCCATATTTTTAGATTGCAAAGATTTAGGCGTAGTTGATTTTATTATCAACATCTAGATACATCAACTGAGGGTTTTGGTTTGATCAGATAATCTTTTAATTAAAAGAAAGTCTTCTCTAGATTTGAAACTAAAAAAAAACATGTTGCGTCACAAAATCGAGACCTCCTCCCCCGACCCTTCGTAATAAATCATCACAAAATCGCTAATCCCCCTCTCCCCCTAAAGCGTAACGTAATTTATGGACATATTCCTTATAGCTTCATTATTGTTTAAAGTTTTGCAGCAGCAAAAGCATTAAGTATTTAAGAACAAGGTATACAAATTTACTCTACGTGCTTTTACCGTTAACTGTTACCGTTTGAATTAATAAAATTCGCAAGGCAATACTTCAATTAACAAACGTTTCCAAATTGTTTTAGTAGTTCAATGTATTGAGAGGTGTGTTGCTTATATTTCATTTCAAAAGAAATACGTTTTTTAAAAAAAAAAAAAGATTCATTAAAAAAAATTTTATTGCTATTATTTTGAGTCTTCCTGTTCTTCACATTTCAAATTCTAAATTGTCGCAATGTTTTTCGAGTTCTTCATTACTTAAATTTTGTAGAATTTCTAGATAATATAAAAAAAATTAAAATGATTATTGTGGATTGGTGATAGTTCAGATGTTTATTTTAAAGAACTTATGGTTGTATTTAAAACCTAATGAAAAACATATTTAAATAAATCTTTCATATTTTGAGGCATTTAATCTTCATGCTCATAATCGAATAGTCGTTTCTGTTTTTTTATGATTACATTATTTAAATATACGTACATTATTTAAACTTGCGTACATTATTTACGCTGCAAAATTTTTATTTCTATTTTAGTAGCTAATTTATTTGAGATTAGTAACAAATTTTCAAATCCTTTAGCGGTACGATATATTTTCATAAACGTAACTAAATTATTCATAGCTTTTATTGCAGTTCCTATACCCTACTTCCATACTTTGCTAAAATTAGCAGGCAACATTTATTTTGTTTATTTATATCATATCACAATATTAATGAATAAAAAAAAATCAAAATTAGTATTTTTTTTTTACATTAAACTTTAGCCTGACATCTTTCATTTTCTTGGATTTCAAACAAGCATTTCACCAATTTGAAACTGCAGTGGCTTGTGTCCTTTAACACTATCCAGATATCCACTATCACTGTCAGAAACTCTCCCAGCAAGTATCTGGAAGAGGCTTTATTTTAAAATTCTTTTCAAAACAATTTGAAAAAACGTTGTTTTAAAATATCCCAAAATTTAGTTGTTGCCGCGAAAAATTATACAATTCTTGAACATTTCCGAAAAACGAAATCATTTGGTTACTACTTTTTGCAGCATCGTTAAATACGAGATTTAGAGAGCGAGCGGATAAGGTGTATAAAAAGTTCTTGGATTAATATTTAAATTTTTTAACACCATTTTTTTTCCCTTTCATGTTCGCTCTTTTATCAATGTCTTGGTTACCTAAATTCATTTCACCTAAATTGTATTCTTTAATTTTATTCAACAAATAGTTTATCAAACCAGTTGAATCATTAGTTTTAAAAAATTCTTGAAAATATTCATGAGTTTCAATTTTTTTTTTGTCATTAATTGACACGTTCCTAATAATTTGCTTATTTGCTCATTTTCACTGATATAGGGTGTCTTCATATTTTGGTACCGCCTGTACCAAAATATGAAGAGTAGCTTCAGAAATAACAATTTTTCAGTCTCTAAGTTTTACTTTTTTTTAACCAGCATTAAGGTTTTATATTCAGTTTATGAATATGAAATGCTACAGATGTGAAATAATTATATACAAAGTATAAAAAAGGTTTGTCACAAAAAAAAAAATTGAATTTTAGTTGCTGTATAGAAACTACACAGTGAAATCCAAGTTTTTAGGTTAAGAATTTTTGTTCTTATTTTAAGAACTTGATTTTTGTTTCAAGAATTCCAATCTTATTTAAGGATATTTCAATAACAAAATTTATTCCTAATTTTATAATATTATAATATTAGGTGCGCATGCGCCAGAAGTTTTTAGAAATTTCAGAGATTTTAAAATGGATGCGGTTCTTAGCTACATAATCTTTTTTATATGGCAACTGTTTTTTTTTTAGTTTCTCTTTGTGATATATTATTGTTGCAACCATATTATCGATCTAACTCAATAAATAAATGCATTTTTTTAGTAAATAAATAATTAAAGTAAAAAATCATAAATTGTTTTAATTTGTATTTTGATTAAAACTTTCATTTTCATATGGTACAAACTTACTCTATTTTATAAAGTCTATCAAAAAAACCAACAAATATGTTAACTATGACCTAAGTGCCAACAATATTTCCGGTAACGTAAAACTAGACCTGCAACTCAAAATAAAGTTAAATGGAAAAAACCTTTTGTGCAAAAAATTTGTATACTACTTGGGTATAAAGCTAGACAAAAATTTAGCCTGGACTTACTATTAGAACAATACCTTTCATAAGTTGAAAATAGAATCGACGTTAAAAAAATGTTTAAGTATTATATAAATATGAATGTTGACTAATAGTAACCTTCTGTGTGTGCATTATTTATTTTGTTTTGTTTTTGTTTTGCACATAATTTGCTCCCCTCGATTTAGCCAGGTTATATGATATTGAACTATCCAAAATGTAGACAGTTCAAATATTTTTTGTAATTTAAAACATGTTTATATTAAATATCTATTCTCGTAAATATATTGCTTTTTGTTTTGTTGTTGCTGTTGTAACTTTGAGTGATTTGTTTATTTCTTTTTTCGAAATAAACTTTGAGTACTTCTAACTGTACAAATTAAACAATTTTATGATTTTATTATTATTTTCTTTACACTTGACTTTTTTGGTCGTTGCTTAAATTTAAATTAAATTGTTAAGAACTTAGTTTTTTTAATAACTTTATTCTAGCGCATTTTAATCATATATGTTGTGAAATTAGGATATAAAAATGTAATAAAATTCATAAGAGTGTTATAATAAATTTAACACTTGTAATATATATATATATATATATATATATATATATATATATATATATATATATATATATATATATATATATATATATATATATATATATATATATATATATATATATATATATAACCATAACCATAAACTATGTAAAGTTGTTATTATATTTTAGGAATTAAAGTAAACAAGCTTTTCTTTTTACCACTATTTACTCATGGAATAACTTATTTTTTTGTATTCACTTTAAATCACAAAACTCTTTGCAAGATTCAAGTTTTCTAATTTATGCAATGTAAAGTAAGTAAAGAAAACATTACTTTTTAATTAGTAAGTTTAAAATTAATAAATAATTTTACTTTTTTACTTTTTTATCCTTACTTTCATAATATTATCAATTAAAATGCCACTGAACAAATTTTTAGAAATGGGATGCTACATTTACTTAAAAAAGGTTTTAGGCTAATAAATGTTTGAATAATAAAATGTGTTGATAGAATAGCAACAGTTTTAGAGAAATATCCATGTTTCTCTATGTGACGGTGGTAAGATTTTTTTATTTATTTGTGCTTTCATGTTTTTATTGGAAAAAATGTGACAGTGTTTCAAAATCACAAATCTTTTTTAAAATGAGTAGGCATTTTTTCAAAACTGACATGTTTTAATGGCTTACTGTATATTCTTTTCTCTGTTTTTTAAAATTGTTTGCATGCTTTATTTTAAATTTAAACTGTTTTAGGTTGGCATCAGATTACATTTAGCAAACAAAAAAAGATTTTCACAATGTTTTCACCTTAAAAGATAAAAACGAAGTCAGAAAAATTGCCAACTTCAGGCACTTAGGTTTTTGTTTGGTTAGGTACAATAATGAATTAAAATCATTTAACAATTAAGTAAGAAATGTACTTTTCGATAATAAAGTTGAACACTTAATGTGATTCTTACTGCAATTATTCCCAAATAAAAATTCTAAGAAAAAAAGACTAAAACTAGGCATATTGAATTTGAAAAAGCTGGAAGTTTGTACGATCTTTTGATAAGATATTATTAAACTTTACGAAATTTTATATTGAACATAAATTTGAGTTTATTAAATTTATTTTTAGATAAAAGAAAATCCTTATCAGTACATAACAGACGACAGAAAATGAAAAACTTTAACAAAGTTTTTCAGTTTTTGATGCCGCACAGTGGGGCGGATTATTTAAAATTGGACAACCTTTTTTTAGCAACTTTTATATCTCCGCAGTTTTATATAATCACCTGAAAATCGCTAAATTTAATCTCCAACCTAAATGGTAAATCCTTAATTATTTTTTGTATTTCATACAGTGTATGAAAAACAAAACATATCGGATTAAACTCAAAGACTAAAACAGATTTTGCTGCAAATAATTCGGCAAAAACAAATCAATGCAATAAAAAAGTATTCAATGCAACAAAAAAAGGTAAATAATAACATTGGGAAATTAGGGCAAAAACAACGATTTGGTTTTTAAAGTTAGAAATTGATAAAGTGCAACGTAAATTCCAATTTTTTACGTTCTTAAT